CGGGGGGGGGGGGGTTGGAGTGCGTGTGTGCGTGAGAAAATTGAATAAATTTGGACAGGTGGAGGAAAATGGGACGGATTAGTTAATTTGTGCAATGGCAACGAGCCCACGACAGAGGTAAAGACGAAATGACTAATTTATCCCTATGTTTTGTTGTTTGGACCGGAATTCACGGGCAAAAGTGAAGCCGCTCACTCCCCTTTGCTTTTGCGTTCTTTATTTCTTTTTTCTTTTTCTTGTGTGTTGTGTATTAGGCTCTTCGCGAAAGCTTCTTCTGAGTCACAATTTTTTTGTTTTTTGGGGGGTTAAAAGAGTTTTTTTCTAAAATTAAGTTGTTTTTCCAAGATTTTGAAAAGAAAAAAATATTTTTGAGGATAAGCAGTGGCAGTTTTAGAGAAGAAGAAAGAATTAGTTTTTTCTTCAAAAGCACTTTTTTGAAATGCATTTTTGAGAAAAATACACTTAGAAACAGTTTTTGAAAACTTGGTCAAACACTAATTGCTGCTCAGAAATACATTTCAAATAAGCTTGCCAAACACAAGCTGTTTCTCGCCAAAAGTACTTTTTTTTAAAAAAAATGAAAAAATAATAATAATAAAAAAAAATATTTCTCAAAATAAGCTGATTTTTACAGCTTGGCCAAAGGGACTAATAATGTCTAATATGACCGAGAGATAGTGCCCTCAATCAAGGGCGGATGCAAGGTAAAAGAGCATGGTTCAACTGAAATCATAAATTTTTACGCATGATATAAATGTATGTGTAAAAATTTATTAAAGTTGAAACAAATAATAGATCTGAACTCATTTTTTTAAAAATATAATGGGTTCAATGCTAAAACCCTTAAAATTAAATTCATAAACTTTGAATCATGGATCTGCATCAGCCATCAATAGTGAATTAAGGAAAGAATGAACATAATTGATTGAGAGTTACACTTAGGTCATTTGATTGTGATACTGGCCTTATTAATCTCCACATAAAACTTCACATAATAATGCAATATTTAATTAGCAGCATTATAAGGAATAATCATTGCATGATTGATGCGATATTTGATTAGCGGTATAAAATAATATATGTATTGTATTAATTTATGTGAAATTATAGAGTAAGCTATTTAAAGATAAATTTTGTGTCTTTAATGTATATTTCTTAAGATGTTAGAGAAACTAAATTTTGTTATATTAGACTTAGTATTTTGGGTCTAGAATCTAAGGAAATAGGGAGATTGATGATGACGTCACTCATCATATTGAAGCGAAATAGATGAAATGGAGGCTTGCATCCGACGTGTTGTGTGATAAGAAAGTGACGCTGGGACTTTAATGTAAGTTCACACAAAAGCTTATTAGACCGACTATGTTGTATGGGGTGTTGGCCAGTTAAGACCTCTCATATTTAGAAGATGAAAGTAGCAGAAAAGATGATGATGATATGGATGCATTGGCATATTAGAAGATATAGGATTTGGAATAAATATATTCAGGACAAGGTGGAAGTGACCTCCGTGGTGGATAACATGTGAGAGGGGTGACTGAGATGATTCGAATATTTGAGAAGGAAATGCACATATATCCCAATGAGAAGGTGTGATAGGTTGGTTGCGGTGGGGTCAAGGAGAGGTAGAGGCATGCCGAATAAGTACTGTGGAGAGTTGATTAGGCAGTGCATGACACATCTTCAGCTTATCGATGACATAACTCTTGATAGGAGGGTGTGTAGATCGAAGATTACTGTAGCAAGTTAGACAGTTTTCGACATAAATCCTTTTTTGTACCTGTAGTATCAATGGATCCTCGTATTTTCATTTCTTAAATTTCTAATACTATTTTTGTTTGCTCCGGTTATCTTTTCTTACTATGATTTATGTTTCTCTTTACATTAATCCCCTTTTGTCGTACTTTCTTATCTTATTTGATGTGATTATGCATTTTTTAAGTCGGGGTATCTGTGGGAAACATCCTTTTTACCTTCTCAAGGTATGAGTAATGTCTGTGTATACACTACCCTTCGTAACTCCTACTTGTGGGATTATACTAAATATATTGTTATTGTTGTTATTGTTGTAGACTTAGCAACTTGAATAGAGTGCATAAGAATCATATAGCCAACTCTAAATTACTCAAATTGAGGCACGATTATATTCTTTTAAGAGAGGAAATTATCTACCATGATATAATATAAAATCTCTTAGTCTTGCTAATTAGTGTTTGAATGTCTTTAAAAAGTAATACTACATAGAAAAACAGGAAGAGAGAAAAGGAAAAGCATAGTGGGAATTGAAGTCACAAATTTTGCATGAAAGATCTGACTATAAGTGGGCATTTGGATATAAGTATTGTAAGATTTCAGAAAAAAAAATGGGAAAAAAATTCAAGTGAAAATGGTATTTGAAAATTAGAGTTGTGTTTGGATACGAATATAATTTTGGATTGTTTTTGAATTTTTGTGAGTGATCTGAAGTGAAATTTTTGATAGTTTTTTGGAGTTTTTCAATTTTTCGAAAAATTCCAAAATTGATCTTCAAGTGAAAATCGAAATTTCATGCCTAGACACTTACTTCGAAAAAAGTGAAAAAATTCCAAAAAGAGGAATCTTTTTTTTTATGGCCAAACGGGCCATAAATCTCGGTGTTTAAATGTTTGTTAATATTCCTAATTACTACTGTTTGCTAATAGTTTCTCTATCCTTAGAAGGTAGGGATAAAATCTCCGTACACACTACTCTTCCAGATCCCACGGTGTGTGTGGGACAAGACCGGGTATGTTGTTGTTGTACTGTTTGCACGTGTATTTTGTACGGCATAACAAAATTCCAACTTGGGTCAGTTGAACCACAATAAAAATAAAGGGATAAATCAACGTGGACATTTCTCTTTAGGTAGGAAATAGACAAGAACTAAAAAAAAAAAAGAATGGGATCAAACGAATCGGGGGGAATTGAACCCGACGTGAATCGAACACGCAACCTTCTGATCTGGAGTCAGACGCGCTACCATTGCGCCACGGATCCCGAATGTTAAGATCTGCCTCCTAAAAGTAATATAACATTATGTTAGTCTAACATTAGAACTCCTCAATTTTTGTTATACAAAATTCCTTAAATACTAAAATGTAATCCTAGTAACACTTGGACCTAACTTAGTCATACCTACATGATTTAAAAAATCCATTTGGTTATTTTTTTATAAGTTTGCATCAGTATATTTATACTAAATTCACACACATATTCATAAAAAAGTAGTGGAACAATGATATTTTCATCGTCTTAAATATATTGTTTAGCTTGCTACACAGATAGCAATGCATTGGTTTTGCAATATAAAATGTCTTTGACTATGAAGATTTGTTTCCGCTTACACCTTCGTAGTGTATTAGAACTTTATCAAATATTATTTTAATTTATTCATACATTATCAAAAAATTGCACTTATTAAAACAACCAAAATATATAATCATCAGTATATACTATATAGTTGTCTCAAACAAAGGACCTTTTAAAAGAAAATTAACATGAAATATATCAAATTTGAAATAACTAAATCGTCGATTTTCAAGATATTATTGAATCTTGCTGGTATGAGTTTACTCATGTTGTTTGGGCGAAATAATGGTAGACAATGTAAACTATTCTAACCTATTATAATTTTCAATTGAAACATGTACTACACAAGTACAGATAAAGTTTAAAGCAACTGAGATTTGTATTACAATCAAAAATATCATTGTAAGCTAGTATTCTAATTCAAATAAACCACTCCCTCTCTATCCACAACAATAAGTATACACACAGAAATGGTTAAATTTCTGTAGAGCCAATTTTGACAGCCATATGAAGGAAAAAAAGAATATGATAAAACTTATGCAACTATAAGCACTCTCAACAGCACTCTTTTACCTTTGGGAAGGAAAAAAAACTGTGGTTAAAATCTGCTTGTGCCGGCATCGTTCCTACTGTCAAGATGGCTAATTCTGCCTCAGTTTTTGGATGAATTCACTTGCACAAAATCCTGTGTACGCTACAATTTGTACTTACTTACAATAGCTTTGAATATGAAATACATCCCACGAGAAGACCTATCCGCAGGCAACAAGCTAGGATCGTAAACATCAACCTTTGGCATAAGAATGTACGAGGCCTCAATGAACAAGAACAATAAAGTTTTCAGGAAAATCCCCTTGAATTGAAACGTTTCTTTCCAACTATTCAGCAGTGTGTTGTTTGCAGCCCTTAGGTCCATAATGCTGGGATCTTCGCTTCACTATCGTTCTACAAAAGTACAACACCAACAACATACTTAGTGTAATCTCACAAGTAGGGTCTGGGGAGGGTAGTGAATACGCAGCCTTACCCCTACCTGCACTGAGAGGCTGTTTTCGATCGACCCTCGGCTCAAAGCGGGCATCTTTCTACAAAGGTAACAATAATAATTCTGGCATGCCCAGCAGAATATGTGATTCTTATTGCCAACCTGTGACGACGACAAGGAAAAAGGGGTACAACTTGGTTACAAAAATAAAACAGAAAGCGGGAAAATGAAGAGAATAGATCTGTTCAAAGGCTGTAAAAACAGATTTTCAACTACAAAAGCAGATGAGGCGAAGGTTCCTGTGACTAAAAAGAATAGCTGAATGCCGATAAGATTAAGAGTTCTTACATAAACTCAATAGAAGGAACCAAAATTGCTTACGTATATGCAAGAATTTCTATAAAGCTAGTAGCAGTGAAGCTTGGTGTGCGCTTCGCCTAGCGTAATTGGCGCTTCAGTGTAGGACTGTAGGTGGACTGATGGGTTCTGTCTTTAAGTACACAACAACTTA